ATCTTATTGAAAACTTATTGAAACAACCAGCGGGTGTTCCGCTGCCATGTCCGGGACAAGTCACTTGCTCCAAATTTTAGATAAGTATTACTTTTGTCCATACTATCTCGATATCCACGCTTATTTGAAAATATACCTAAAGTTCAACGAATCAAGAGTCAACGGTTTCCCCCCATGTTAATATTGTGATGGGAATCTTGATCTAGAGAAGCGTCTACAAACCCTTGAGCGAGAGAGTTAAAATATTGAGCTTTATTAGTGCTTACAATCGATTATTTTTCGAAATATTGTTTGTATATTGTCATTCGATTCATTCAGTCATTCGATTCATTGCAGTTGAAAAAGATGGGCACACTTCTTATAGAAAGAAACAGGCGGACATGACAATATTCGCTCGGCTACTTAGTACTCTCTTCTGTGAATGTTATCTATTTTTATATGTTACATATGCATATTACTGCGCAATGCGTTATCATCATGGCCAACCAAATTTGGGCCACTTCCGGCCGCATCGACCGCATGTACTCAGTGCAGCAATTAGCTGGTGCCGGAGTCAGCTGCAAGTCGAAATGGCAAACCGCATTTAGTACTTGATTCAATTTTGAACAGGAGGCTACGGCAAATGGGGCATCCTGTACTATCTGTGATGGATAGCAAATAACTCATTAGTCTGCCACTTATAATTAAAGCCAAATCTTGGGATCCGATTGTGGCCATGCTTGCTGACCAAGTCGAGCAGTTGTGGCTATGATCTGCATGCAACACTGACACTATTATCATAAAAAGAAAATATGAAACCAAAATCAATGTCCTCTCAGGAAGTGCCTTGGCAATTTGCAATCCTTTGTGTCATTACACAAAGCTTCCGCAGGGTCCTGGTGAGTGTCGCCTGCAGCGACACGCTGCTGCAATCAAAGCGTCTCAAATCACCAGCAGCATCAGGAACAGGAGCAACCGGCGTATTAATCCTTCATTGGCAATCAGGAATTTTGCCTTTGCCGTTGCCAATCCCCTCGCCAATGCCTTTGCCACTCTGTGAACCTGTGATGAACTCTGTCCCAGAAACGGAAGTTGTAAAAACGCCAACGCCGCACAAAGCAAACATAGAAGGAATTTTTGGTGGCTGCTGGTTGCCTTTATTGTGCGGCACTCTTGATGCTTGGCTAACCAGTGGCATGGAACCGATTATAGTATTCCGTATTTGGATTGAGATTTGCCTGGGGGCATTCGTCAAACGATGCAGCAACTGAGGCAATTGTTTCGCCAAGTTTCGCTTTTCGCTTTGTTCATTATGCGCCGCCTTCGTTCTTCTTTATTCTTTTTTTTCCCTTTGTGCTGCCATTGTGCTGAGGCAAAGCATAAACACAGATTGATTGATTAGAGGCTCGGCTCCTCAGTCTGAGGAACTTCTGCAGAGCCTGGCAGCTGGATTTATCGTGTGTGTGGCAGACACTGTGGCACTAAACCTAATGAGTGGCCCTTGAGCGAGTGTCGCATCAATCAAAGGCGCATTTAACGCTTTATATAAATAAGTATTTGTTTCCTACATATCTATGTAAATATATATATGTGTGTGTGTTGGCAGCGATTTCTCTTGACTTGCGATTATTGTTTTCGTGTAGCTGTGTGCGCTGGTCTGACAGCTGGCGATTAACAAATGAATCATATAGTACGTATATACGTGAATGATGGCCCCCGACACACGGCTGTCTGAACACTTTAAGTATGGTTGAGCCTGGACTCAAGTTGCCATTGTTAAAGCCCACCTTAATCGGCTAAGCAAGCCAATTTCTGCTCATATTGGCGATACCTATCTGCAAATTGGCTACGTGGCCGGCTCAAAGGGCGTAGATTGGCATTAAATAAACTAAGACTGAAACTGAAACTGAAATCAATAGTGTTGGCAATTGAGAGCAGCCAGGATGCCGCAGCCTCACTGCTGGGTCAGCATTGTTGCACGTCATGACTTCCGTCATGGACACCAGTCAGCCATCTGTGACCTGGCACTCTATCTCTCTATCTCTCTCTTTTTTTATTCTATGCCACGAAAGAAATGTCAGTACCCACCTACAAGTACAGACAGCACCTATACTCGTGCCGATAGCAGTGCTGACACATCCTGTTGTATCTCATTCTCATCTCACTTAACTCAAACTCTCGTTTATCTCTCGCTCTATCTCTCTCTCTCTCTCTCTCTCTCTCTCTTTCTCTGTTCCTCTGGCCTTGAAGCAAAGTGCTCATTATCAGTTGAAATGTTGTCAATCACGGGATTCCGTTTGTTTTGTTTTGATTTGACTTTCAATTGAATTTCCAATTTGAATAAGCAACGTTAGCATTGCCACCCTCTGCCCCCCCCCCCCCCCCCCCTACCACGCCCTCCTTAGCTACATCTTCTCTCCGCGCTAAGCTTCACGCAGCTTCCGAGGCTCAGCTCTTATGATGAGTTCGCGGCTTATTGGTAAATTGCAAACTTTCTACATAAAAAATTAATTTGATTATTTTTTCAGAGTTTCCGGCATTTTGCTAGCGTGCTTAGACTTGCGTTAATGACGTCATAATCAACTGTTTTATTACACTTAAAAAAAAGTTAGGGTCGCCCTACACACACACATACACCCACAAGCATACACACGCACACAGAAGGCGAGTTGCTTTTATTGAGCTTAGCTGTAACTTTTTTAATTATACTTTCAACATTTTGCCATTAGAATTCGTTTGGTTTTTGTCTACAAAACGGCATTTAAATAGAATAAAATCAAGATTTATTGAATTATTAAGTGCCGAAACGTTTTCTTTATGCCTCGTATCCATAAAAATCAGCAAAAAGAATCATAAAGTTATGCGCATGTAATTATATAAAACAAAAAAGAGACAACTCAAACAACAGGTTTTTCTGTAATTATATTCCTCGGACCATTGCATTTAGAATCGAGTTTTCAAAAATGCAAATATACTCATATAATTTACTCACCCTTTTTCTCGATTTTTAAGAAAGAAGATGTATATTGTAGAATAAACAACTTTCAGTAAAAAAGATTAACTCATTGAAATACTTTTAGAAAGGGTCTTTTTTTTGAGAAAGAGGAAGTGTATTTATTTGAAAATGTTTATATATAAAGTAAGTAATTTAAATAAATTTAAAATGAGCAAATTCCTCAGCCCAAAATTAACGCAGATTTGTAACTTAAATAAAGGGCTAGAGGGCACAGCAGTCGGTCGGAAGTCGTCCGGCAGTCATATTGACGCAGTAGCGAAGTTTATGTTTCTGATCGAAAATTTTAATTAAAATCATAATGAAATAATTGAGAGTTTGTTGTTATAAAATTTATGCGTAATAGAAATTTCGGAAATTCCCATGGCATGAGCAATAACAAAAGCAGCAGCAGCAGCAGAACCAGCCAACAATAACAATCGGGCTAGTAGTTGGGCGGAATGCGGGAGCATGGGATAAGGTCATGACAACCACAAGGAATTTGCATTTGTATTGGTACATCATAACGGAGACTGACTCCTAGAACGCTGCCCGGTATACCATATAGCTGCGTGCTGCGGCGTTCACAGCCATAAAACAAAGACATTAAAGTTGAAATGATGACCCGGGCTTAATCGACTTGCCAACAATAATATTTAAATTTAATTTAAATGCTCACATGAGAGCAGGCATGCCGGCTAACAAATCGAAGGACACGCATCCCAATATCCTGGACAATTTGCAAAACGCTTATGGTTGTAGATAAAATGTCGAAAAGGTTTCTCCGACAACTCGATGGGCTTGCAAAATGCACAGCTCGCATCTCAGCCAGTAGTTAGTTAAATGGCTTTCTTGTATTTTGTTACTGCCTTCTTTTTTTTTGTTGTTGTTGTCTGTGGTTAAGGGACAATAACTTTGAGTCTCTCGCTTAAAAGCACAAAATGATTGGAGAGTTGCTTGGCGAACGAGCCGACCCGATGCCCGTCTAATGGCACTTTACGCAATATTGTGCGTATTGGAGTATGTATTTGTGTTTTTTGAAAATGCCATTTAAGCTGCGTTCCAGAGCTTTATGTTTATGTGCTGCTTACTCGAATTGCTAAAGAGCCAAATAACTCTAAGTCCTGACGCCAGGCTTAAGTTCTTAGCTCGCCCTGAGTTAATGCCTTAATATCATTATCAAATTTTGTTGCTTGGCAATGTGCCACATTTGTAACTTTTGACCATTAGCTTTTGTTTTTGTGGCCACGACAGCATAACACTGTTGCTCGATATCTTGTTTTTCTGCTTGTTGTTGCTATCGTAGCTATTGTTGTTGTTGTTGCTGTTGTTGTTGTTGTTGTTGTTAGTTGCGGTCTAATTGATACAATGAAACAGCAGCAAGAAGAGCAGCAAACCGAACAGCCAAGTCGTCAGGAAAGTTCCAACTGCAACTAGCAGCTGACAATTGTTTTCAATGCTGTGGTCAGCTTTCTGAGCATATGTCTGCTTGTCCGTCAGTCTGTCTATTCGACTGCCAATCAAACACACACACACACACCCGTACACACACATTGAATCTATTTGAAATGTCAGACACCGGTCGGTGCTCGTCTTCCATCACACTGTGCATCGAGCTGCTGCTGGTGCACGCTGCGTATGGGTATTGCTAACATGAGTCTATGTGTGTGTGTGTGTGTGCGTATGCGTGTTGATATGTGTGTGTTTGTGTTGCTTAGTTAAAGGTTTTTGTCTTGCTGCAAAGTTTTTAAGCACGTCGACGCTGCTGAAACTTGCGTACGCGTGTCATTTAAAAGCCTTAGAAAGTTGTCAAACTGACAAAGGATGTGCGTTATACGGGAACAGCGGCAGCGACAGCAGTCGCTGTGACTGTGGCTGTGGCAGGGTGCATGTGGCAAGTTTAACAAGCAGGCCAGGCCAGTTATCAATAAGCACGAGAGCATCAATTCAAATATGATTACATACAACTTGCAACATGCAAGTTGCAACTTTTACTCACACATGCGTCTAACTCTCAAACTCTTTGCAGCGCAACTATAAAAATGGGCAGCCATGGCGGAAAAGTAAAAGGACGAAGATCCTGCGTGCTGAGACCGAGGCAAAGCTTACCCGCTTTGCATGCAGTATTCAATATGCTGGCTTTGAGCTGCATTATAATCTCCAATTTATTGCCGAGCGGTAAGTATGCTTACACAAATAAGTGTAGCTTATACTACATTCATAAAATAGTTTAGTTAAGTTCGTATATTTGTCTGTCTGTCTGTCTGCCTGCCCTTTGTGCCTCTTTGTCGGCTGTTGCCGCTGCATTTATTATGCAAGCTACGTGCTCAAATGTGGTTACAATTGATTATTTAATTTTCCCCATGACTGTTAACATTATGCATTGCACTCCACCCACACTCGTGCATAAAAAAGCACGCACACTCGTTAACCAGTCAATTTATAAAATATTACACATAATTCACCCGGCACTCGCCACGACCAGTCGAGCTGAACTGTAAAGCGTTTGATGAATATTGGTTTGTTCAATTAAAGCTGCCATAATTCGGCCTACCGCATTGGGGTCAGCCAATTGACCAGTTTCAGAGAGGGCATTTCTACTCTTCAGGAGTTATATAATTTTCAATTATTCTGATGCCGTCAAGGGATAACGCTTATAAAATCATTGATAGATTTTAAAATACGATTGATTTCATAGCGATAACAATTATGCAACAGATTACACGACTGTCACATGTCAAAGTAAAATATAACATTCCTTTTATTGTTATCCACATTATCAAAATAAACATTTTATCCTTTGGGCAGTGGTAACGGACTATCTAACTACGTATTTGTATTTCAAATACAAATAATAAAAGTCCAAATCAGTCAGACCCTTTTTCCGTCCATCTAAATGGCGACAAATTAAGTTCATTATGCCGCATCGCTCATACGCCGTGTTGCGCACGTTTATGCAATGTTAATTGTTTAACAGAGCATGCGCCACATTTCTCAATTAAAGCAAAGGGCGACAAAAAAAAGAAAATGCACATGAATACGAAAATAAAAATTAAATAAATTGCATTAAATTCAAGCCGCACGGTGCTGCTCGATGCATTGTCATAAATTAACATGTAAACGGATCCGGCTGCAGACACCCACAATTCCAACTGCTCGCGCATCCGATCCCTGAGCGCGTGTAATTAAGTTTTTATGCCGTGACATAATCGAGTTCAAACCGTAGGCTTTTCCATGAGTCCAATGGATTCCGCTCGCCGTAAAGTTCTCGATGCGATGCACTTTAACACACACTTAAATGGCTCGCAATGTTAACAGGAATGGACATAGGACTGCATCATAAGCTGATTACTTTTTTCAGCTGGCCTTAATGTGTATCTCTCATCCTTTGCTTTGCTTTCCTTTTTTCACTTGTACAGCTCATGGACTGAAGGATCTTAAGATATTCGTGCCGGAAGCAGTCATCATGGGCAATGCAGCGACATTGTCCTGTCAATACGATTTGGAGAAGGTAAGTGAGACTTCCTTGGGGAATGAGTGCGACAATTGAAATGGGAATGAGCACAGGAACGGACACGGGCTCGAGAACGACGGCGACGGCTTGTTTAATTATTATAATTACTAGCACTTTGTCTTCGCTGTCGTAGTCCTTATTCTCGTGCTCGTACTCGTACTCGTACTCGTTGTCGAGGACGTATCCTTCTTCTTCTGTTGGCGGCCATCCAGTCAACCTTTTCATTAACGCTGCTTCTTCTTCTTTTTCTGCAGGCGGCGCTGTACTCGGTGCGCTGGTACTTTGGCCAGGAAGAGTTCTATCGCTATGTACCACGCGAGGCGACGCCCACATTTGTCTTTCCTGTTGCAGGCATTAATGTTGATGTAAGTGAAATTAAGCATGCGATCACACAGGGCTTATCTCGCCGGTCTCTTAGCCAGGCGTCAGCACGCCGATTGTTATTAAATAAATAGATTTATTGTGTTTTCATTTTTTCATTTTTTGTCAATTAAACGTACAAATCGGGCAGAATTTCCCGCCGTAGTGCCGCGTATGTGTCTTGTTCGTTGCAGCAAAGTTTGCATTTCAACAAATGGAATTGCGAAAACATTCAAATATTGTGTAAATATTTATTTAAATGTGCACAATGGCGACTGGGGCGCCAAATGCAGCCTGCGGCAACAACAACACCAATAAAGCTGCCGGCCACGCTGTCCCTGTCTTTCTTTACTCTCCCTCTCTCACTCTTTCAACCACAGTAGCTGGCAGTTATGCGCAATTTTTATTTGCCATTTTCTGGCAGTGTCATGTAAGTGTGTGAGTGTGTGAGTGTGTGACTGTGTGTGTGTGAGTCCTGCACAATTTGAAAAGTGCGAATACAACTAACTGAAATATTGCGCAATGTGCAAAATATTTTATGGCGCGACTAGAAGCAACTGAAGCAGAGCAACCTCGCGCTGAATACGTTTCGCATTCATGTTTGTATATATACCCTATATTTCAAATATAGTTGGGTGTATTACTTTCTGAACGTACGTCGTAACAGCTTGTAATGAATGCACAGATTGATTTACATCGAGTAGAAAACAATCTCTCTGACTTAGGTAGTCAATTACCAAGTAAGTGGAGCTTAAATGATTTTCATGTAAGGCATGTAATAGTTGATCATATCTGCAGAGCCCCAGTGCTTGCTCTGTACTGCACTCATTAATAAAAACAACAGCCGCAAAGTACGTAATAAATTGCGGGCCAAGTGCAAAGCGACAACATTTTTGGGACAACATTTAGAATGTTTCTCAAACCGAAACATTTTCCAAGGCTCGCATATTAGTTGAATACTTAAATCAATTTTCTGCTTTTCCTTCAAGCTTATAAAATAATACTTTAAATTATGATTAACAAATTCAAATGATAGCGTTTATTTTGATTGACCAACCCACATACCCGAGGGCACCCTACAATGCGCCACAGGCGCTGGAAAAAATCGCTTGTCGTATAATCATAAATAAATAAAATCGAATTTGCCATGAACAACATTTTTGCATGTCTTATTTTTTTGAACACGAAATATAAATTGAAAACTCATTCGCCCGCACATAAAATTTCCAAACTCATTTACCAATACTCCATGGAACATTTTTCAAATTCGCAAGTGGCCGACCTTAAATAATAATAAATAATAGCATCAAGAGAAGGGCCCGGAAGATGGGGCAATGTTTGTTTTACCCCATATAGTACAATGCGAAACAGGGCGAAATATGCGCTTATGAGTATAATTTGCCACCCGCCCACCATATCCTGTCAATGTCTGCCATTTCACTCGCACACTCTCTCTCTTTCGCTTTCTGTCTCGCTCTTTGAAACCCAAAGGGATGGAGGGGAACAGGAGCAGAAGAGGCCACATCAATCAGCGGTAGCAGCAATCGGACTTGATTAATTTGTTCTGATTGTGTCTTTAATTTGCGCTCTATGCGGTAGCTGGGAAAATAAAAAGAAAGACAAAGAGAAGAATTATAAAAACGAGGGAGAGAAAAACTCCGTTCAATACGAGCAGCCCTGTGGAAATGTTAATTTGCCACTAATTGGCATTCAAAAGCATTTTCGCACTAATTAAATATTTCGATTACAGTTGCCTGTAACTGGTTGAGGGGGAGGGGCGGCGTTTGGTGAAGCAATTTAAGCAGCTAGCATTTCATGTTAATTATATTTTATGTTTTATTCTGAATATTTTGATGCCGTGGTTCATATAGTCAGCGGATCGGAAACTAAAAACCCTCCACTGGCATTGGAATCAATGCGCATATTGTGTAGCCTACTTAGGGGCGCGGCATGCTCAAGTGGCATTAAGGACTAAACTACAATTTTTAATTTAAGCAAATTCGCTTTTCTCTGTGCTAAAACAAACGGACTACTTGAGATGCAATGAGCTATGAACCGCAAAAGGTGAAAAAGCCCACAGCCACAGAAAGAGGCAACAAGATGGGTGAGAGGCGGGTCAGAGGCGAGCGTCGTGTCCATTGGTTAATGCAAATGATTTAGCAAACGTGCGCTTTGCAATTAAGTTTGAAGGTTATTCTCAGCTTGGCAGCAGCAGCAGCAGCAGATGTCGGTCATATTGAAAGGCAGCTTTTGAAAGTGAAAAAATAAACACAGCAAAAGAAAAAGAAAACGAAAATGAAAATATGCCACACCCCAAGGCAACGAATCGAAATGAAGCACCACGTTTTCTAATTTACATTGATAGCTGCTGCGGGTGCTGCTAACGAAGGCAAAATTCAAAGGCCATCCAGAGCCACAAATGCAAATTGAAATGGAATTTTTAAGTTATGCCAAGGCAAACATGACACTCACACACACAGAGTGATCACTGTACAATCTGCACTTGGAGTGTGGGAATACGAATGTGCCGGTGGCTGAGACAAGTCGGGCTAAGTAAAGAGATGCAGGCGAAATGGTGGCAAGTACCATAATTGAGATTAAAACATTATAACTTGACTTGTTTTACTTTTCCTAAATCATTTCAAGCAGCTAAACACGCTTAATGAGAAAAGTTCAGGCCGTGGCTATTATGATTATGCATATGCATTTATATCGGTGTGCATGTGTGCATGTATGTCAGCGTGTGTGTGTGTGCGTGTGTGTGTATGTAGGCAGACCATATAGAGCGATAAGCGTGCATTCAGAGTCACACTCGTGCTCGGGACAACACTTGAATGGCAGCTGCTTCTGATACTGCTGCTGCTGCTGCTGTGACTGACATGCAATGCACTTGTCAGCGGGGGCGGGAGCGTGGGCGTGGGCATGGGCGTGGGCGTGGCTAGCCGACCAACCGACCAAGTGCACTTCTGTCGTCCACTTGAGCGTTATTGGAATGTAAATGTATGCAGATCAAGGCATGGGCACAGACAGCAAGGGGCGCCTGATTGTAGACCCCCGCGACGCGCCAACAAACTTCAAAAGTCATTCAACATAGAAATATGTATACCTTGCCCACAACCCCACCCAACCACCCCAACCCCCCTGGGCACACATGTCGCATGTCACTCGCGACAAGAACAGCAACGATTACTGCGCTGTGGTTATACAAAAAGAGAAATAATAATCATCATGTTAAATGTAATTAAATTTTTAATTTAGAGACAGCGTCGTCAGCCACGTTGGCAATCTTCAATTAAAACACACAATTACCAGGGCCACCCGCTGTGCCAGGCGGCGGGTATATGCCAGCCAGGGGGGAGAGTGGAATATAGGGTGCCAGTTACAGGAATAGGATATGCCAAGTGCTCAAAACTTTTGCGGCTTATTCATTGTCCGCAACAATAAAAAATCCGAAGCGAGCAACCAACCAAACGGCCTCTGTCTGAGCCTGGGCCTCGTCCTCTTGCTCGCACTCATCCTTGTCGGTCGGACGGACCAGAAATTTGTGCCCCGAAAACTTTTTGCACACTGTCAACACGGAAGGAATTATTCCGCATTAAGTTCGCGGTAATGGCGGCGGCAGTCACACACCAAGTGTCCTCTGGTCTAGTGTCCTCTCCCGGCATTGTTGTTGTTGCTGGCGTTTGCTTTTAACATTGTTAATAACCCGACACGCCTCCGCCTCGCATTTATGCACAGCAATGTGCCCTTAAAATTAATGCACTCGCCGCCCGCCTGCAGAAAAAAGAAGACGCAGCCGGCAACAGAAGTGGCCAAAAACTTTGCGCCCGGCATGAGCCAGCCGACCAGACCACCCGCAGTTGCTGGATAAATTTGGCTTGTTTTGGCCCTGGCTCCTCGTGGGTAGGCGCACAGCTCTGAATGTTGTTAATTAGATGCACACTGGGCGAGGCCACAGCCTCAGAGCGTTTTAGTTGTAGCCGTCGCAGTCGTTGGCCTTGGAACTTGCAAAAGTTTAATTGAGCACTGCTTGGAGAGTGATATATTTTACTAATTCTCTTTTTTTTAAGGTTTCATAACAAATTGCCATTATTGCAAGTTAATTTAATGTTGCTAGTCTTGATTTTACTCAAATTTTAAGACAGCTATTTACCACTCATATCCCCTATAAAAGTTATAGTTTACATAGAGTGCAGCTTGAAGCTAATAAATAAACGAAATACCTTTCACGAGCATTTCCCATCAAAGATACGATACACGCATCATTTTTACAAAGAATGGAAAACAAAAAAGTATTATTCAACCTTATTATTCGATTTATCCACTTGCGGGTGGAAAATCTTAAAACCCGTGATAAAAGAACTACAGCAAAAATATCAGCTTCTTAGCTCTTACAGTGAAAGCTGTGCCAGTCAGGATAAATCATTTTGAATATGTTCGTAGCGACAAATTATATTTACCAGAATGCTTCAGTTTTATATTAAGCAAGTAAAATTACTTACTACATTCGAGATGCTTTAATAAAACCTTCGTTCATTAATCTAAAATACATTTTACAAACGTAAGTGATATGTGCAAAGTAATAAAATGCATTGAATGTGTATAGAAAGCCAAAGTTTACTTATGCCTGCAATAAAAGTAATTGCAAAGCTTGCATGTACAGCACAAAGTTGTGCTTTTACGTAAGAGATTATTATTAAAGTTTCGTTTCGCAAGCATTAATATAAATACATAAATCTGTTACATTTACGAAAATACTTTATAAGCTATGATATATCAAATTGTTACTCTCTCTTTTCTTCAAATTGAGATAAGCTGCAAAATATATATAGTTAAGCCTTAAAGATGAAAGTTTGCAGTTCAATTTTAGCTGAAATGAAAATTCAAGATAAATCATAGTTGCAACAGTTTTTGTTCAAATTTATCAAGCTACATAAAAGCAACAATATTTTCATATTTTTAGCTGGTTACAAGCGTTAAGTGCTCTTTATTAAACTTTGGGAAGTGAATTCTTTACCTTGTCTATATCAGTTTTTCCTGGCAACTTCAATTACCATTAGTAAAGCTGCATGCTACAGACTGTACGCTGCAGATTGTATTTGTTGTTGTGGCTGAAAATGTGGTTGGCGGCCTTGGCAAAAATGGTTGACAAATGGCTGCAAATAAACATAATAAATAAAAATGCGAGTTGCGAAATGCGAAATGCACATTGCATTCAAGACAAGCACAGAGCATGGCTACATATATACATATATATAGATATATACTCGTAACTAGCTGGTAGGTCCGTCCATCTGACACTGTCCATATCCCGGCGCAATTCCCTGGCACGGCATTCACATGGCGTGTGCCGCCGTCGCCAACAATGAGCACAATAAAAAGCCATGCATTTTCCAAACACCAAAAATTGTTCACAGCAGCACGGCAACAACACCAACGAAATCAACAACAAATGGGCAACAACAGCAACAGCAACAAATAGAAGAAGAACAACCGCACCGGAAACATCTCATTCAGTAAATTTGTGGTCGGTTTTTGCCAGGCGCACTGCGTACTGCGCTCAGCGCGTTAGGCAGTCAAAGTTGTAAAATGCCAACGGGCAACTATAAAGGCGAACGGGATTGGCTTGTAGAGCAGGGGGAGGAGATGTGGGGAACGGGAGCTTTGAATGCAAGCGGGAATGGAAGCGGGAACGAGCCGCCAACGCTAGCGCCGTTAGTTCCAACAAAGCTCGAGGCAACGGAAATTCGGAATGACATAATACGTGCCCATGTGTGTGCCTGTGTGTGCATGTGCGTGTCCTTGTGTGTGTGTGCGCGCGTGTGTGTGGAGTGTGTGGCTGGCTGACTACCGCGACTTGAGTTGATACAGCAATAATTCATAAAGTGTTGCATGCAAACGAGGCTGCAGCTGAGCCACACACACTTATATGCGCTTGTATGTGTGCCGACATGTGTGTCTATGTGTGTGCGTGTGTGTGTGTGTTCTGCATGCGACAGCGTTGGCAAAATTAAAATTGCTGCACAACAAACAGCGGAAACTCAGCGAGGAGCCAACAACAGCAACGAGAAGCGTGGCTGCAGCTGCAAAAGTACTCGAGTGTGGGCCATACACACACACACACACGCACACACACTGTAGGATCGGGGAGGGGTCGAGAGGGGCGCATTGCAACGAAATTCATTGTATTCTTACAACTCGACGTTGGCTGCTCAGCCGGCGAAGCGGTTTTGCAGTAAAGTTATTATTTCATAAAGCCAGAATTATTGAAACAATACTTTACTCTCACACTCACTTACACACACACACACACACACAAGCACACACGTGCATACTCGTATGTTTGTAATGCAAAATTGCGCTTTAGTAGCATAATTTTTTATGCCACAGAGTTGCAGCTGCGGCAACTAAAGCAATATAAAATATAAATAGAAATTAAAAGCCAACAAATAAATAAAAACAGGAAAAAAAGCGCAACGACAAAAACTTTTCCAACACAACAAAAGCAACTTGAGTTCAGTTTAGCTGAGTCGATTCGAGTCGAGTTGGGCTGAGATGAGTTGAGTTGAGTTGGGGCTTAGTTAGAATTCATTTCTCTTGCCTACGGCCTGCCAGAGCAGCTACAAATGTCGCTACATTTTCATATGAGTAACTAAAATGTGTGTGCGTGTGTGTGTGTGTGTGTGTGACTGTGATTCGACCGGGCACATAGTTCCTCAAAATGGCAGACATTTGCGTTTGTTTGGCGCGCTTCCTGGCGCTGCCACTTCCGTTTCCGCCAGCCACGAAGCACGGCACACCAACAACAGCAACAATAACAACAACAAAAGTCATATGCAATTAAATAAATATGACAACAAAGTGGGGCGCAGGAGCCATCATCATCATTCCAGCCAGCCGCAGAGCACAACAACGACGACGTCAACGACAAACAGCTAAATAAATAAATTGTAGAGGGACAATATTTACATACAAATATAAATGTATATGTTTGCACACACACACACACACACACATATATGTCTGTTTGATTACATAATTAACGCCATTTAATGCTCTGAATGGGTTGAGCGTACAGCCAGTCGCAGCTGCAGCTTCATAAAGAGCATCTAATTATCTGGCTAAAAACTAAAAAAAAAAAAGCAAGACTGTTGCAGCTTAATGCTCTGCAGTCAGCTAAATGTGCTCAGATCAGTGCTTAGATTCACAGAAGTGCTCATTAAAAAATGTGTAATTATAGCTCGAAAACGGCTAACATCACAAATAATCCTGATACACCATGATCCTAGTGAATTCCATATTTGTTTGTCTCCTGCTTCGATAGAGGAATGGCAATCAAGACACAAAACCAACATTATCTTATTGCTTTGCAAACGAGTATACTTATTTGCAACTCACATAGAGTATACGGGAGTAATAGAAAATATTTGACATAGAGTTTTAAAATGTTTGGCTATTGTTTGTGCTTATGTATCTGCTATGCCCACAGATAACGCCATGCATCTGGGATAATTATTCAAAGCGGCTTATCCTGTTCACGTTGTACATTATAATCGCTAGCCGTCCAGCTGTGCAACAGGCACTGGTGACCTGCTCCAACTCCGACTGCAAATATGCAGCTGTGCTGCTGCAGTGCAACTAGAATGTTGCACTCATAACTCGTGTTCCCGGATGCCAAATGCGGCTCTTACTAAGCTGGATTCTGTGGCATATCGCACATTTATTCATAGCTCACACATACGCGAACAGCACGCACACAGAGCATATAGATAACCTTATCAATACGTTTCACATTTGTTTTCATTTTACGATTGCGTAACGAGATCAACGTCGACAAATCCAAAAGCCACTAAAACCACAACCCGCCAGAGAGTGCCCAGCACCCAGAATCCAGGTCCGGGAGCCAACAGCCAACAGCCAGCAGCCAATGCCAATTCCAATATGCCAAAAAGGAGCCGCGAGCACTAAACCAGCTGTGGCTATTGGCTTGATGGCGATGGCATTTGCTACGGCACTCGCGTAGCTACTGTGGCTCCCTTATCGATAGTATTATCTACGAATGGACTTAGTATGTTGAAGTCGGGTGGAACCGACTGCAGAATACTCGTTCGCAGTGCAAAAACAGCATTAGCTATGATATCAGCTGAAATTTTTAAAAATAGAGGCGCTCATCAACAGCTTTTCATTCAAATTCGAATATACAGAAATCATTTATGAAATTTCAAGTATCTATATATTTAGATAAAGAATTTCCTGACTTCTTAACAAAACCAATCCTACATATCCAGTGAAAGCTACCCTTACGGACAATTCCCATAACCCGTCAATATTCGTCGACGCAAGCTTTTCATCATTATTTCAATACTCTCCAATAACTATACAAGAACTCTCACTCTTGACAAATATAGTTCACATAGAATTCCGCTTCATATTTGTGTTGATGCAAATGAAATTCGTTTGATTGTTTAAATATCAACGACATTTTTTGTAAAATCGCACCAAGAAGAAGTATTTCATCTCTTAAAGAACATTTTAAAATTATTATTTTGTTTAATTAAGAGAAATTGTCGATGCGTGAAATTTTATTTTGTTTCTATTTCTATAAGATCTTTGTAGCTTTTCCATAAGCGGACTGATGGGTGTCCGGTTATAATAGTGTCTTCAGTTCCAAAAGCACTTGAAAATTATTGCTTGAAGCGAATATACTCTTTTAACTTTTTGAACAAGTATAAAAAAACAAACTAAAACAATATCGGAAAACAACACATGACCATGCAGCAACGGCAATGGCAGCGGCAACTAAATAGAAAGCCAGGAGAGCAATGCGCTAAAGTGTTGAAACAGTCGTAAATAGCAGTGGGCGCCCGGAGCCCAACACAATGGAGCATTGACTAGCAGCTGGCAGTCGGCAGTGGAGGGCAGGCGGAGCAACACAGAGAGGATTAGTATAGATGCAAATGAACAAAAAACATGTGCAGCATTGGGCGGCGGCATATGCAAAACGTAAAAGGGTTGTTCGCACTTAAATGCAAGCATCTCAAATCTGCAACAAAGCGAACAACACACACGTTAATCGCGAGTGCTGTTGCTGTTGGTGTGCTGAAGTGGATTTTGAGCAGCAGGCTACGCTCGAGTTGGGCCAAGTGGCCCAGCGGTTGCTGCCAATTATCAGAACAAATGCCAAAAGGCTGCCAGCAACAAGAATTTGTTTGCCAATATGCTAACGAAGATTCTACACCCTCTCCTATGATGATGACACAGTTTTCTTGTCCAGTTAAATCTACTGAGACCATAAATTATGTCGTGGTTTTGAAACCTGCATGTGCAATTAATTGCAATTGATTAATATATATGAACATTCATTAAATGTTGCCTCGCAACCTTTGAAAGCAACTGTCTATTAAATTATTACATTTCCAGTTCACTTTCATTTTTGTGTGTGGAATTCTGTGCTGCCTTATATTCATATTCATATTCAACTCTATTCTCAATTAAAAACAGATTAAATATATTTCAGGGATTTAAGCAGGATTTTAAACTGTCTGTTCAGCTTTTATTGACCAAAAAAAATCAATATGAGTTTCCAATTTATGGTCGTTAATTTTTTTTTTACTTTTCGTTTCTGAATTAAATTCTGTTTATACTTAGTAAACCTGTTGGCAAAGAGTATAATCAACAAAATGCTCATGCCACATGACGTCTATTGAATGCAATTTATTACTTTTAAATCAATTTGAATTAAGAAATTCAAAGGTTGAGCTGCGGTTGAAATTCGCCTTTTAATTAAAGAGACGCTTCTCGTTGCAGCTCACCAACTCGGATGCAACGTCGGTCACACTGAAAGGAGTCACACGAGATCTCACCGGTAGCTATCAGTGTGAGGTGTCCGAAGATGCACCGCTTTTCCATACCGATATACGGTCGGCGTACATGCAGGTGATTGAGCTGCCCAAAGACGATCCGGCAATGCAGGTGGACAAGAAGGTGATTGGCGTCAACGACAACTTCAAGGCCGTGTGCACAGTGGGACCCTCTTATCCGCCGGCTAATATCACTTGGTACATCAACGGCCGCAAGGTGGGTACAAACTTAAGATTTGTAGTAAATCGCCAGGTGCTGATTAATGCCGTGACAGGTATACAAAACGCCGCTGCAGCGCATAACGCAGGACGCATTTGAGGGCTCGACCACATACTCCTCCCTGGAAATCTATCCGCACAGCCAGGTGTTGCAGGGCTTCTTCCAGGCAATGCCCAAATATCAGACCAGCATACTGCTGCTCTGCGAGGTATCCATACTGCATGTGTTCCACAAGAATGTGCAGCAGCGCATTGGGCTAAGCATGGCACCGCCGACAACCATTTCACCCAATTTGCTGGGCCTCGAGGGCTCCAAACGCTATGTCAATGGCGATCCGGATAATTCAGCACTCACCGGCGCTGCACAGTGCAGCTGCAGTGCTATCGGCGTGCTGACTCTGGCCGTGGCAACCCTGGCGGCGGCACAGCTGTGACCAGGACACACTGGACATGCCACATAAGCAAATGGTCGAGCAGACACAATAACGGCAACAACAAGAAGCACAGGCTCCGAACGAGCTGCCCGCAAAGTGTAATTAAAAAATAACAAATGCAAACAATGCACAAAAGTGCAGCTTGCAAATTATAAAAAAGCAAAAGACAAAACAAAAAAAAAAAGAACATTAAAAATACAAAATAAAGAAAGAAATGTTTTCAAAACGGGTTCGCGTTGTGAACGCGAAGCGGCATGTCCTTGTGGGTAACCCTTATAACTTATGTTGTTGTTGTACGCTTAACAAATAAAAAAAAAAAAAAAGTAATAAATAAAAAAAAAAAAGAACGGCGCCAGAGTCGTGCATTTAAAATGAATATTTTTCACGCTGCCGCAACAGAAATGTTAAGATTATGATTAAAATCCAATTATTTTAAATTACCTATTGCAAATTTATAAAATCTGAGCTGAAAACAAGTGATTACAAAATGCCGGCGGTTAATTAATTGCGCTCAAACACATGCACAACAAATCCGAGCGCAACTACGAAAATATGTTTACATAATTAATAAAAATATATACTTAATGCATACACGCATTATGCATGTTGAAGGCGTGGTGTGATGTCAAAATCTGCAAATAAAACACAAATACACAAACATAAATTTAAAAGATCAATAAACTAAAATAAACAATACATGCACTTGCAAAAAAAAAAAAAAAGAAAAAACTCATTTGCAACCTAATTTAAATTATAACTAACGAAAGAGAAAAAATTAATATTATATAAGTAAAAAATAATTATATGTTAAGTACACCCTACCCTCCAACAACCGCAGCCTAGACACGTAAGCTATGTAAATATTATTTGTATAAAAAAAATATAAACACACAAACCAAAAAAAAAAAATGCAAGGCAAAACGAAAATCATAAACAAGATGAACGCAACAACAATAGATACATGCAATAATGCACGGCGCGTAAAGTAAAAATAACATAAACAAATATTAATTAATGTTCGAATGAAAGGCTAATTATGACATAATAATAAAAAAAAAAAAGAATTGTATGAAAATGCCAATAAATAAAATGAATGGGAGTAAAGTTATTTTAATTGAATTTTCGCATTGTGGTTAATTTGTGGCTTCGTTTTTTTTTTGTTGCACATTTCGTATTTGTTGTGAAGCATTTTTTTGGCTGCAAAATATGAACTTTATTTTAGGCTACATTGAAATAAATTTATATAACTACATGATTAGAATAAATGTCAAACTAAATGAATTTAGAGAGTAAATGTTAGTTGAATAATATTATAATAATTGTAAACCAAAGAAAAACTAATATTTGAAGCAGAGCAAAATCTATAAATAGGGTTAATTGCAGAGGTTTATGTGCTGTGCAAAATCCTCGTAAATTTCTAGTTATAAGAAAAGGGAAATTTCTGCATGCCATGCAAATTCCACAAAGTTCATCAAATACTCTTGAAAGCAGCTTTGAACTTTGCGACGCATAAACCTCTTTTAGAAATAGGCAGATTACATGAAAATTATATTTAAAGCAAAACTGAATGAAAAGCAAGCTAAACAGTTGTAAATCAAACAAGAAAATCAAATTGTCAAATAAAAAAAATACAAATACAAATAAAAACGTCTTGCAAACGAAAACAAAAACTAAAATGTAAAATTTAACTAAACTACAGGAAACGAAAAACAAAACAAACAATGGAGTAGCGAAAATATTCAAAAGAGCGAGAAAAGTCAAAACAGTAACAGAAATATATGTTAAACAATACGCATAATTATAAATTATTTATGAGTGGTAAGAAAAGCCACAAAAAAAATAAATAAAATTTGAAAACAAATCAAAGCACGCCATAGAAAAAAAAAAGAAAACGCCAACGCGTAAAGAACTAAGCTCAAAATTATAAACGATAATGGCAAAATTATATGACGAAATAAAGAAATAAAATACAATTACTCAAACTAGTTTTATTAGCAAAAATGTAAATGCTTCGAATTATAAATTTCTTGAAAGCTTCTCAAATACGCTAAATAGGTTAAATTACCTTTAGATTGACAAATGTGCCACACAAAATTAATTCAGCATTATGAGATCCAATTCGAAATTGTGTGAATTAGTGTGGTAAGAGATTGGGAGTATATTCTTTCAAAAAAGTGTCTTATGTGTGATTAAATATATGTGCGATATGTGTTCATTGTTATAGAGAGAAGTATGATTCGAGCTAAATAAAATCGCACACATATACAAAAGCACTCATGAGGCGTAAAGAAGACCCCAACCATAAGCCTGTCGAATTTAGTAAGTTCGCTCAATTAGCATAACAATTATTTCATACCCAGCTGCGTGTGCAGTGCCAATTATGCTGCTATTTTAGTTTTGGGGATTAAAACCAATTACGAATATCATTGCATAATTTCGGCAATAAGCTGACTACAAGCACACACTAACTTACCAATCCCACACTTACACGGCATTATAAACGGTGGAGATGGCCTTGTTTTCATATAGTACTTGCTTCTAAGTACATGCAATGGCATCTGCCAGCAAAAGTGGCGAGTGGTATGCAAACAGGCAGAAAATAGACTTAACACGAATCAGCCCAAGCCGTTGGGCAGGACATACAAACATATGCTGGCCTGGCTGAAGCTCAGGTATTGCCACGATGGCGCCGTTACCATCGCCCTCTCATGTTTTGTAAATTAAGCAAACAAATTAAGTGCACTTGGCTCACGGGTCTCACATGCGGCGTTTGCTGTTGTGCGCCATGTAAACACATTGTGATTGTAACAAAGCCGTATATCAAAACACTCGCACGCCGAAGGGAGGCTTTGGATCGCCCTTGAGCAGCGCTGCCACCCGCAACGTCCAAGGACACTCTCCAAGATCCCAGGCCAGACAACACACACACGCACAAGCACAGGTTAGTTTGTCTTAATTAGCTGCTGCTGCTGCTCCAGATTCAGTAGACTCAAAAGGCACAAGGAGTGCAACGCGAGGTGCACGCGCATCTGTTATAGACACGGTAGGTGCACTAACAACAACCTGGCCCCTATCGCTTACCTGCCCTTAATGTTTACGATCCATTGGTTGCAGGCAAGACGCAGCCACTTTGCCCATTTTCCCTGCTTCCTCATAATTGTGCAGTCATTCTCATCGGGCTCATGCTTAAAGTTCCCCTCGTACGCGCTTTGCTGTGTCATCGACACATACGCACACACACACACAGGCATATGCGGCGTATGCGTAACGCAAAATGTTGCCGCATGCTGATGCTATACACAGGGATTAAAGAACAAGTACCACAATAATTTACCCAAAACAGAAGCTCTTAACAGCGCGCTGTGAATTCTGTGAAAACTTTGCTAACACAACGAAAGCTCAAATCCAGGGTCGCTCCTGGCAACTGGATAAATGGGAGCATACGCAATAGACCTCTTGAAAAGGGCTTGTAAGTTAAGTGACTGCGAATAGCAAAATATTATCTTGGCAATTCCACAGTCTTGCATCGAATATGGAATTGTGAGTTATTAAATTCCTGAAGTCTTACAAACATCAAACAAAAATTGATTATTATAAAAGCATTTTACAAGCGGCCAAATTAGAAACAAGAAACAAATTATAAAATTCTTGTCGCTAGAACACATTTATTTTTTTCAAGCAAATTCTATGTCTATTTCCGTAAGCATATAAATTAAAGCTCTTCGTTAGATATTAAATTCAAGAAACGTATAGTAAAGCAAAAATTCGGTTGCTTTAAATTGTTGATCAGTCCTTATATTGAATAAATCGTGGCAAGGCATGGATGAGATACAGCAAGGGTTATATGTTAATATCAGTGTACGCCATGACAAATGCGAAAGCTGGTCTTATAATTAAATGCGTACGGGACAACAAATAATGCAAATGCGCCCAGCTCGGAGCAAGCTTTAGCCAAATGAGCTGGATATTTTGGAGTATTTGATCGGGGCTCGGAACGTGCATGTTTGTTTTACGGCTCTCAATGGGGCGTGGCTGTGCTGAATGATTTGGTTTATGGCCGCTGCATGCATTTAACAGCACTGGCATCAACAACAACAGCCGGAGAAGCGGAGAATATTGGCTGCCACAGCGAAGCTAAAAACATTGTTAAAATGCAGCAAAATTTGTAGATTTATAGCGCGCTAATCGCGGCCAAACAGCAACGGGGCGGAGGCGTGGCATTTTAGGTGGGCGTCAAACGCTGCGCTGGTGCTCCAAATTGTATATTGTAATGGAAATTGAAATGCAAATGCATGGCCTGACATTTACGAGTACACCAGCCAGTGACAGCATCCACAACAGCGCCAGCAGCAAGAACAGCAACAACACCAAATGGCAAACTCTGCCAAAAAGTCACCAATAAAATGTTGCAACTAAATGCGGCGCCATGCTCGTAGACGTTACTTGGCAGGCGGCGGACGCGACGTAGGCGACGGCGGCTCTTGGCCAGCAAATTTTCAATTTGTAAATGCAAAACAAGACGCTGGCCACGCCCACAACAACTAAGACAGCCTATAAATTTGAATGTGCCAGCCTGTGAGTTGCAAGCCGCACAATTAGTAAAAGAAACCATTTCAAAATATTCCTTGCATTTTGCAGGCGTGTCTCTCGATGCGAATCAGCTCCAGCTTGAGCTTCCACTCGGCCAGAGCTCAGCTTTCTTGTGCAGCCCATAAACGCTTTACAGCCCCGTTAGCAGCCGTTGATGAGCATCCTTTATGACAGCCATCCGACGCCTTGGACATGCAACTGACGGCCACGTGATGAATGCAGCACATTGCGACAGCGATGACAGCACATCATAAATTCAGCAAGTGATGTTCAGCATCAGGCGAGGGGTATTGGCTGTATTGGTCATGTTGCTGCTACGTGCAATCGGTTAGCCTCTGATTTGCTGTCATGTATCAAGTGAAAATCGTGCCAGTGCTGCACATTTAACAGCATGACAGTAAAAAACAATAAGTTGCTTTAAATTGCCGAAAGTCCGTTAATATACACAGCTCGGTCAGCTAATAATTACAGAACGCAAGCCAAGCCAGAATTAAACTCATTTTATTAATTTGTCCAAGAGAAAGCAAAGTTTCTTGTAAACAGCTTTAAGCTCAACTGAGTCGAGCTGTTGAAA